AGGAGATTCTATGATCGTCGTTCAACAGAGCGACATGGAGGGAGACGGCGGGCTGTCGTCGGCAAGGCGGTGGAGGAAGATCGTTGATGGGAGAGGTGGTGCCGAGGTGTGGCGCTGGACTCATCAAGGTCATAGTCCGGGGGAGTCGGATGAGCAAGGAGTCGTGCGAGTTTGCACAGTCAGTCGTTGTCGTTGCGTGTGTGAGTCGTCGTCATGTCCAAGTGCTCATCTCTGTGTGGATTCGTTTAAGTGGAAGCGTTGTGCACGGTGCTCCATGGGTCATGTCCATGTCCTCGTGGAGTGTCCTGGTTGCGGCCAGTGTGGGTTCGGTGTGATGCCGAAGGCGGACGGTGGTAGGTGAAACCATCGTAAAGCGAGGAGGTGTGCGAGCAGTGGAGAGTGGATCTATTGCGAGTAAGTACAAGGAGTATGGTGCGGACGAGTGCAAGGCAGCGGCCAAGCAATGGCGGTGGCATAACATGGCAGAGCAAGGAGGCACTGCATGTTTCCGGGCGGGTCATACTTAGTGTACGGATATGACAGTTGAAGATCAAGCTCGACATGTAGTGGGACAGTGACCAGTTAAGTTGTACGACGTGAAGACTGATGATGTGTCCAGTCTTGCACGTTGCACGCGTAGATGTGACCGTGTGGGCTGGTAGTCCGGATCATACGTCGGAGTTTGGATCGTCAAGTCGTGGATCTCCAGCTAGTGAAGATGAAGAAGAGCACGAGGAGATGACAAGTCAAGATTAGGAAGAGATTATTAGAATAATCTTGTCTTAGTTTAGTTGTTGTCCTGGTAGTATACGTGTATATGCAGGAGTAGTTGGTTTAAGCAGTTAGAGTTGAGTCCGGTTACAAGTCTGGTCTAGGTGTCATAGTCCGTCTAAGAATTGTATTTGGTCAATTGCGCGTCATAGAATTAGTAATTGTAATCAGCGTTGCCGGGTCATTAGATTAGGAAAGTAACTTGTGTCCGTACGAGTACTACTTCGAATCGGTTGACGTATATATATATGTGTTGGAGTCGGTTTGAACTATGTCCGATCCTTGCTGAGACGATATATATACACACACACA